ACTCTCAGCAGCCTGAGCCTGCTGATGCCAGCGCAAAGAGCCCGTCAACTGTGACGGACGCTGATCAGCAGAAGGTTTCGCCGTCATCGGATGCGAAGTTGGAGAGCCGTGTCAAGATTGTGTTCATATCTGGTCAACAGGGCTCCGGAAAGTCTGCCTTCGCAGAAGCGCTCTTCTCCTGTGCGAATGGTGGGCAACAGCGCTCTCGAGTGGTTCTGTTTGATGGCGACGTGTGGGCGCTGGGGTACGACCCAACCATGGGACCCAATCCTCCGCCTGAGTCGAAGGTGACAGATGACACTCCCTTTCGCGAGAGAATGACAGCCATCTCAGCGTTCCTTGCCACCTTCCGCGGTAAGGCCAAGGAGGAAGAAGCAACTGGCGACGCTGATGACGAGGCTTTCCGAGACGACGAGAAACAAGCCTCAGCGTGGCAGCCTTTTTATGCGGCGATGTGCGAGGATGCGCTTCGCACTGGGGCGAAGAAACTGCAGCAGCTGAATGATGATGATTCTGGGAACTGTGTTGTGCTCATAACGCACGCTGTCTACCGCCGCTCGATGCGCCTCTTCGTCAAGAGCCAACTTGGCGACCGCCTTGCGCGATGGATCTTCGTGGATCCCTCGCCTCAACTAGCCATCCAGCGAGCTGCCGAGCGTTGCGCCAAGCAGTATGCCGCCATGGGTAAGTCGGCAGAGGAATGGGCTACTCTGCTTGAGCCAAACAGCGCCGGATTCCAGCGTCCATCGAACGCTGAAGTCGATGCACTCGGCGGCCTCGACACGGGCAAGGTGGCGGTGCTGGAGAACAACAGCCAGGATGTGGACAATTTGAAGGTTCTTGCTGAAAACATGCTGGCGGACGGCATTTTGGTCTGAGCGAAAATGTCACGATAGAAGCACTCCCCTGCTCTCACTAGCCCCTCTTTCATTTTGCGGTAGCTGCCTTCGTTCACCCGAACTCCACAGAGTTCTATTTTCGGGTCCTTTCGGGTATACAGATCATGAGCTTGTTCCCTGAGATTCCTCTTCACCGCCGTAGCGTCCCACTGATATTAATGAACAGCTGCATGCCCGTGGTGACTCCTGCCCCGCCGTTGCCTCTAGATAGCCGTATAAGCCCTAAGCCCTAAAAGCCCTGCGACCCTCTGCGCTCCCGAGGCAGAAGGACTTTTCGGACTGGAGTGTGGCCTCAGGAGTCTGCAATGCCCTGAGGGTTTCGGCTGCAGGATGTAGGATTCGGGGTACCGCTATACGGTTTAAGGATTTTGGGGGCAGGAGTTTACGGATTCTATGCCGGGTGGCAGGGGTTGAGGTGGGCTATTTCAGGCTAAGAGAGAATCCAGGTAGTGTGTGCTTCTTTAGTCCTCTCCCTCACATACACAGGCCTCAGCACGAGGTAGTTGGGTGTATATTATGCCTGGATCAAAAGGACGATAAAGCATATTACTTCTGGTATATTCAGACCTTCGTCTTCTCTTCTTTCATATGGGTGGTTGTCAAAGTTAGGGTCCCTTTTTGGGTACCCTAAATAACTTTCACAACCCTAAACCCTAAACCCGAAACCCCTAAACCCTAAACCCAAAAGGGGACCCTAATTTTGACAACCACCCATATCCTTCCAGTCGAGCCTTCGCTCCTCAACTTCTCGGCCTTGGAGGCTTCTCGAGGCCCTGTGACCTGAAACTCTGCACGCTGCCTAGGGGTTTAGGGTTTAGGGTTTAGGGGTTTGGGGTTTAGGGGTTTAGGGCTCTCGTTTGGCTATGGGGCTATGGTTTAAGGTTGCAGCTAACGGTTTAGGGGTAAGGAAAAACGCAGGACTCCAAAGCGGATCTTCCATAGCTGGCAGCCAGATATTCCTCGATCTTGTATCCTTCTTCCTCTTCGCGTATTATCTAGTAATAGTATATCGTAATAGTATATAGTAGTAGTATAGTAATGATATAGTAAAGATATAGAAGTAGTATATAGAATCCTGAGGAAGAGTCACTGCCTACCGTCACTAAGAACGCACACTCCCCCGCCAGCGGCAGCACCATCAGCTGATCACACAGTGAGTCGTTATCCGCGGCCTTGCAGAACGGGCTCAGAGAAACACTCGCAAAGATGTCGTCGTGGTTGTCGTGGAGCCCTGCAGGCGGGGCCTCATTGCAAGATCTCTCCGAGATCTGTTGGTAGCAGTGTTGCATGTCCCTGAACCCTAAACCCTAAAGTCCACAACCGCGACATTTTGCGACACCCATTGAAAGATGACCCGGCGCCTCGCCAGAAAGAGCATTGCCCAGGGCTGCTTGGCTTTACCCCGCGCTGCGGGCGGTCGCCAGCCTGTTGTGTGGCTGCCCGGCCCTCGGCCCCCGGCGTTTGGGACGAATTTGAAGGTGGAGGCTTGCCGTCCCTTTGGGCTAGGTGCTGCCAGGTGTGGAGCGTTTTGCGAGTTCGGGAGGGCCAGCCAAGCCAGATCTAAGCTCCGCGCAGTCCACCGGAAAGCCCAAGCAGTGTTTTTGGGCCGAGGACTTCGACGAGATTTGCGAGACCGTAGATCGTGTGGCGATACTCGGTTCACGTTGGCAGATCGTCCGCCCTGTTTGGGTCGTAATTTGGGTGCAGGGTTTCTGCAGGCGCGATCCAGGAATTCAACTTGCCACGTCAAGCAATCTGGTTTTGCTGATCAGAGCAAAATTCAACACGGATTTCTGTGGACGCGTCGCGGGTGGCATGTGAGACCCGCAGCCAAGGAGATTCGCTGGAACAGAAGAGCTCATAGAAAACAGCGGTACGCTGGCGGCAAGGAAGTTGCAGGTGTCGGTTCAAGCTTTTTCAACTAGATCGGTCTATATGCATGCACTTGCACTGTTGGGAATGAGTGCGTCTCCGTTCATAGTGCAGGAGTTTGGGTCGTTTGTTGCCGCCGCATCGTAGCCATGACATGCTCTGCAATCGAGGCCGAACTTTTTCATACAAAGTGGCTGCTTGGCAAAGCTTTAGCCGGATGACTGTGGCAGGCTGACCTGCAAGCTGCAGATTTGTTGAGAGCTGCCATTCTTGTCTTCGGTGTTGGGGACTTCATACACGGCTTCTCCTACAGTGCAGGCATCCATCCCTTCTTGCACTGTGTTGCTCACGCTCCACCAGTACTTTTGGGAAGGGGGAAGAAGATAGACTCAAACCTTATGCAACACGATTACCGTATTCCCTGGCACTACTTTGGATAATGGCTACCTGAACGGGAACTTTTCCTAAATCAGACTCCGAGGTCCAAGAAGATTCTAGAGTATCTTTTAGAGTCTCCTTAGGGTCCGGGTTGCTTATATGACTTCTGTAACTGTCAACAGATCAGCTTCCATTATTCATCTCATCCCTAAGCTAACCACGAGCATGAATGCTAGAACCTTCGTCTTTGGAATCCATCTAGAACCTGCGTGCTGAGAATGGTTCCGAAGACTTGTCCTGGCAAGTGCAAGGTCCCTCACAGAGCAACGTGGCAGTCTCCGCGCCACGAGGCGCGACTTTTTACGATGGCTTTCGCTGGAGTGGGCTTCTTCGGTGAAGTGGATGGACGTCGACTGGGGGTGGACGGAACCTTGGGGGGATTTTTATATCTTTTTATATATATATATATATATTTATGTCATAATACAAACTCTTTCTTTATATACATATACATATACATATATATATATATACATATGTGTACATATATATGTATATACCTATATACATATAGAATAGTAAGCCGGATCAGGCTAACGGCATCTGTCTTTTGCGCTCAAGCAAGAGACGCTCTTGTGCCGCCTTCTTGTGAACGATCCAAACCGAACTCTGGGAGAATTTGGCTTGCTCACTTCCGCCTTAGCCGTAGGGTGATAACCGGATGATACGGCTTGCTCACGGGTCTGCTTTTCGCCAGCACATCATAACCACGCATAAGGATGGTGACTGTGATGGGCTGCCCTTCGATTCTGTACGCTAGGGTCGCTGCGAAGTCCCTTCATCCGATATCCGACATTTGATCGCTTCTTTGTTTTAAACTTGCATCGAAGCCGTGGAAACTCCAGTACTGATGCTCAGCCGATGTCGCAAGCCTCAGCCTTCTATCTGAGCTCGAGAGACCCAGGCCTAAGATCGAAAGACTTGAGGATCCTTTTAACAAATTACCAATACTATTTTGGGGCTCCTTATTATAAGTTTACAAGAATTTAGATAACTTAAACCAGCACCCTATTTAAGATAGTTTAAGTAGTCGATACTTGGGCCCAAAACCCTAGAGCCATCTGAGCCCCAAAGCCCGTGCGACTTCCAGGAGTTGTACTGGCAGGAGGGCGCTGCCGAGGCCAGGGACCCAGTTGCGGATGAATCGGAAAGATCACCGAAGACCAGAAGTGGTACTATAGGGGCCTAAACAACTACTTGTAGCTCTGCTATTTTGGGGGTTCCTTATTACAGATTACAGCACAATGGGATTCCAGTTGTTAAGGCCCCTTCTTTACCACCAACGAGCAGACCAAGGAATGTTTTAGACCACACAACGAGGATTTGATAGATATACCATGAGCCGGCAGAGTAGCTACAAGAATGAGACATTCTCATCAGTTCTGCTGTATGAGACTAAGTCATCTTTCGATTATGACTAGGTGCATGTCAAGCCGAAGCCTTTCACACGGCTGCGCCTAAACCCTAAACCCTAAACCCACCCGGTTGCTCCTCCAGAGAAGGGCTGGTTTGGGCTTTGCCTTTTTGCCCTCCAAGGCGATCCCGGAGCCCTCCTTCAAAGGCAACGCGGACCGCGCCGAGGCCGGGCAAGTTTGTTTGAGTTTTGGACTTTGGCGATGTTGTTTCCAGTTCGGGCTGAGGTTCGGATGGTGATGTGCGAGCAGATGGGCGAAGGGAGGTAAGATAAAGAAAATCCAGCCCCCGAACCCTCAGAGCTTAGAACTCTTGAACGCCAACCCTTAAATCCCGAACCCCGCCGAAACCTCTAAACCTTAAACCCTAGATGAACCGTGGAAGTCCCTCTTGTCACCCTTTGCTTGGAGGACGAATCAACGGAAGAGCCGCCCGACAAAGATGACGCCAGCGCCGCGGGAGAGGCGGGTTAAGGGTCTCGGGTTGAATTTTAGGGTTGCGGTTGTAGGGTTTGTAGGAGGGATTGGGGTTTGGGGGTCTGGGGTTTTATTGGGAGGGATGGGGGTTCGGGATGTAGCTTTCAGCTCGAGTTTGGGGTTTCAAGTTTGGGGTTTAATGAACGTTGTTGACATGCGAAACAAGCGCTAAACTGCCTGAGCCCTAAGCCCTAAACCGGTAGCTGCCTTGTGTGGTACAAGTAGTAGCATGTTCAAGTCCCGCGCTCAAGGCTTTCACCATCTTCCGCCTCTTTAGTTATGGTTTGCCACGCGCCCCTCAAGACACCAGAAGCCCAGACCTTGATGCAGGAGTCTTGGATTCAAGGCCTTCGGGGTTTGGGTTAAGGGGGTCTGGGGCCAAAGTAGCGGCGACAGGTTCGAAGCCGTCATGCAACATCCAGTGTTATGAAGTTCAGCTTCGAGCCATGTATCTAGAAGCCTTCTCTGCAACCGCTCTTGACTGCCGAAACAAATTAGGGGCACTTAGAAATATTCTTTAATCTTTGGCGATTATAATCCCCAAGAAACAGCTAAAATTGTAATTTTGGCTAGGGTTCTAAGTTCAGTATAGACAATACCTTCCTACCCTCCGAGAAGGGAAGGCCTCCCACCATCTTGAGAGCTGTGAGCCATGAGGCCGCCAGCTCTCAGACAGGCAATAGAGGGTCTGAATATTCAGTAATGGGATTCCCTGACCGTCCAAATAGAAACGTAACATAACTTGCGCTGAACATCTTATATTAATCAATGAGGCCCCGATCTTAGCCTGTGTGTTCTGGAACCAGGCGTCGCCATGTGCCGAGAGCGACCCGGCTGTGGAGCAGCATGGCAGCACGGCTTCGGCTTCGGGTTTAGGGTTTGGGTCTCTCTGCTGTGCATGGTTCCACTCGTATTTTCTAGCTTCAACAACGAGGTTCTGCCTTGTCCTTGTTCCTCTAGTTACAGGGCGACAAGCTAAGAGCCCTGTGTATTGTACGTTTTCCTTGGGGGCTTTCGGTCTTGCCGCGGCAGCAGATTTTTCTGGAATTGGGCTTTCGGCCACTTCGAAGTTTCCAAGTCCATGACCGTGCAAAAACGCCACCACCCTCGAGACTCGGAGCTTATAAGCATCCGAGACAGTGATGCTGGTGCAACCTACCGCCACTCCTCGACCAAGCCGTAGTATAGCCCAAAGTCGTGAGCTTCCATCCTTGATTGCCGTTCTGGGTTCATTTCGAGCTCGGAGGTTTTCGGCTTTCATTTACTTTTAAGGTTTAGGGTTGTGGCACTTCGAGCTTCCTGCCCCGTCAACGGTGCCAGCAATGCAAATTCAGGCGGGAATTTTGGCAGGAATTTCGGCGACTGGATCACGGCAGTCCCCTTGAAAGGATGGTTAACACTTGCCGCTTTCAGTATCACCATGGCCAGTTTCGCTTGAAGTTTCAGGGCATCACCTCCATCACCCTCCACAAGCAGCACCACAGCCAGCAGTGGGAGCAACCGAACCCCCCAAAGTGCGAAGCTTTAGTGTGTCTTAGGAGTGAAACGACCTCAAGAGCTGTAGACCGAAAGCAACAAGCCATTCATAGCTCTTAGCGGCAAGCCACTCCTCGCCTCAGGTCTCCACAGATTGCCCGACAGTTCCGCATCATGCTCAGCCGGAGCGTTTCTTCTGAGGATTTTGTGCATTTCTCGAAGGCTTCGGCCCAGAATCGTAGCAGCGAGTGCTCTTACAACCCTACACTGAAGAGGAGATCCCTCACCTCAGGGTCAACCGTAGAATCCCCGGCGTCCTTGAGGTCAGCCGGAAAGGGAGTTTCAAAGAAGCCTTGTGAGGATCCACTGTCTAGACACATCCTGTGCTTGCGTCCTTAGTTGGTTCTTTGTGATCCTGGCGCTAACCGAGACCGGCAAAACATCATAAGTACAGTCGGTACTATAGAGGCTTAATACTTCCTTTTTATAAATCTACTGTAGTGTAAAGGGCCCCAACAGAAAATTCTAGTCAAGGCCCCTATAAGAGCTGGAGCAGCAAGGCTCTGCAAGGCTCCAGCTCTCCGATCTCAGTGTCCAGGCAGGACAAGGTGGCCGGCGCCTGCGTTTTGGTACTTCTACCACCCACCGGCCTGCATATTCGTGGGGGTAGATTGAAGAAACCCTTTCAGGAATGCTTGTCGCAACCCTGGTGGCGCCCTTCGCCTAAGCCTTATAGCCTTGTATCGAAAGGCATGTACTATAATGTACAATACTATGCCCATTATTAGCATATGTCTTTTATATCATATCAGCTAATAAGCACGGTATAGTACATTATAGTGCTTTGTAGCATATACTTATACTATATTGGATGCCTATGCTGCTTAAGATAGCACGGGACAGAGCCCTGGGCCTTTCTCACGAGGTCCTAATCTGCCGGAGCCAGGGGCTTTCCGCGGCTCGGCGGCAGCCTTGAGGGCTTGGGGGTTTAGGGTTTGAGGGTTTAGGGTTTGGGGATTCAGGGTTTAGGGTTTAGGGTTTGGGGGTTGAGGGTTTGGGGGTTTAGGGTTTGGGGATTCAGGGTTTGGGGGTTTAGGGTTCGGAGGTTTAGGGTTTGGGGATTTAGGGTTCGGGGTCCAGGGTTTCGGGCTTAAGGGTTTAGGGCTTAGAGCGCAGTTTCTGGAGCTTTCGGAAGGGGTTCCGCGTCCTTGGGAAAGCATTTGCGAGTCGCACTTGTCAGAGGAGCGCTTCTCGACATGATGCCGGCACCCCTTGCTATTCCTTGTCGCATCCTAATTCCAAAGCCTTACATCCTAGACCCTGAACCTACTACCTACGACTGAAGCACCCCAAATCCAAGATGAAACATCCCTGATGTCTCAACATCAAAGACCCTAGACCGAAAAAAGCCCTACAGTTTGGAGCCGAAAGCCATGTCTAAGCCAGTGCAGGCTCATGGCAACCGCCCCCACTGGGCTTGCTCGAGGAAACACCAAGGGCTCAGAGACTGTTCCTTTTGCCTTCATTGAATATATGAAGATGTATACATATATACATTCATACATACATACATACATCAAGAGAGGGTTTAGAGCTTCGGGGTTAAGGGTTGAGGGCTTGAGGGAGTAGGTTGCTGGGCCTCCTGGAAAAGTGTTAACAAGGCTTCCCGATTCAGGGTCGGTTCGCTATGGACCAGAAGCTTTCCGGGAAGGTCGAGGTTTGAGGGATTTAGGGATGTGGGCCTTTGCCTTTTGGGGCCGTGGTTTTGCGCATTTGGGGTCTGGAACAGATTAAGGACCTAATGCTTTGATGATCCGGGTGGCAATTATCGTCTCCAATTTTCCACATCTTGGGTTTGTGAGTCGGGGATGATGAGTTTCCAAAGAAAGGCAGAATGGTTGACAAAGCTGACAGTCTCAAGCATTTCCGTTCTTCAAAACATGGACTTTGCGAAGTTCCGATGGGAGGGAGTGGTGGAAGTTTCGGCTTCCCAGGATAGGGGCCTTAAGTAAACAGAAATGGTCAATTTGGGGCAGATTGCATATTCTCCTCCTAGTCGTTTTTCAGGGCTCCTGAATGACTGCAGACAGCTCGGGGTCTGCTGGATCCCCAGAAAGCCTAAACCTGAACCCTGAACCCTAAACTGCTCCTTGATGCGAGGATTCTTGCTCACAAAGGCGGAGGGCTCGGCATCTGCGGAAGGGCCCAGACTTCGATGTAGCCTATGGTAAGAGTTTGAGTCAGGGGATCTGAAGTTTGGCGACATGCAAATGGGGCAGAAGCTAAATAGGAGGCACCAGGATCACCCAGAGTACGATGTGTATGACGGCGGTAAGAAACACTGAAAAGTCAGAAACAACCACGCTCTGAGAGCAAGGGCTGACAGTAGTTTAACTGTTGCTTATTTCTGCTGCTGCTTCACGCCGTAAGCACCTCTGCTGCTGCTGCTGCTGACGACGACGACTACTTCTACTTCGACTATGTCTGCGAGTGCAGCCGCAGCTGGCATGCCTTGTCCTCCCCGCACTTCTACTCTTTTTGCTGCGGCTGCTGGTGCCGCTAATGCCGCTAGTGGTGCGATAATCTTGCCGACTGGCTAGCAGCAAAGCTTTAGTCGGACCTCGCCGTGCTGCCCAGATCGCATGGTGAGGGTGCTCTGTCGCCGCACTGGCATCAGGCCGGAATCTGCGGGGCTGGTGACTAGGGCGCAGGTTCTGTGGTGGTAGGGTTGGATAGCTCGAGGCTCCGTTGTGCAAGGTCAACCCTGTAGACGCGAAGGCGCAGGAGTCTTAGCTCAAGTCTGGTGTTGAGGTATCACGTAGGCACTATCACAGATGGCAGAACCCTACGAGATACTGCCTATGCCCAGGGAGGGTTCGGTAGACCCTCTGCACCCATTTTCAGACAAGTTTCGGGACAACTTCCGAGACATCATGCCCGATGCACTGCCGTGGGGTCCGGGCGAGGTTCGATCTAACAGACCTGCCAGCAGAAGAGGCTTTGTTGTGGCAGAGCCGTACCAGATTCGGTGGCATTGCACAAGACTGGACAACCTACCCTCGAGAAGCTCAGGCACGGCTGAATCGGGCGCATGTGCGTGGGGATGAGACTGTCGAGCTATGCTTCGGTAGTTCTCGATTCCGTGTGGATTTGATGAAAAAGAAGCAGTACAATACAGCGGACATCACCAAGGTCAGAGATGTCCGACTTGCTAGCGTGCAGCCGAAGATGTGGCTTCTCATTTCAAAGCGTGAAGAAGCACATTGGGTCGCACTGGATGAGGCAAATTGCAAGGACATCGAAGAAGGCCTTGGTGAGCGACACCTCTGCCACGACGCCGTGCTTTTTGAAATCTTGAATCGTCGGCTGGGCAGAGGCAGCGTGCCTACGACTCTCTCTATGAGGATGCATTCCGGGGCCTTCTAGCTCTGCCCAGATCGATGTGGGCCATAGTTCAGCAATGGCCGCAGGATGTGACATTGGCACCAGCTCCTGTTTCGTCATTTTGAAACCACCAAGTTCGGCGGCAGGAAGGGCAAGCGCGTTCTGAACGAAGACTTGTTTGTTGGCGACATCACATGCCATCTGCGGAAACGTCTGTACCTGCAGTTTGTGGAGAAGGTGAATAGTTGGTCGGGGCAGGGGCGAGTGTTGCTTTGCTTCCATGGAACGAACCCGCAGAACAGACCAAAAATTGTGGACAACAACTTCTCCCTCAGCCAGTTGGTGCCGGCTCAGGCAATCATGGTTGGTTTGGCAAAGGCATCTACTTCGGACGACGTGCCTACACAGCTCTGGGGTATAACCGGGGTACCGAACTTCTTTGCTGCCTCGTGGCGGTAAAGGATGTCTTCGTCACGCCTCCACCGGATAGTTCTCGCAACGCCTACAACGGTCAGCCTTGCAAATCCGGCTATGATGCGCATCTGTCGCCCAGTGGTAAGGAGCTTGTCGTCTTCAACCCTCGCCAGATATTGCCATGCTTTACCTTGCATTTGTCAAGGTATGTGGAGCTATCAGGCCAGCAACCCGTGTCGGTGCCAGCATCGACCTACGACAAGAGTTCACCCAGTGATTACAGCCCTTTCTTGTAGAGGCTCATTCCCAATCTTCCGTTTGACCGGCCATGCAGCAAGAGATGCCCGAGTCAAAAGCATCTATCATTATTCATCTTGCAAACGCCCAAGATGTAATTAATTGTTTTTGATGTGCATGCCTCGTATTCTGCTGTGAAAAACGGATCTGCCAACAACCAGACTTGGCCAACGGCAGCCATCTGCACAATGATTCCTGCGTCCTCCAGGAATGTAGCTGGCAGCCGGAGTTCTTGTGCAACTACATGCTTGGTTCGAATATTCAATAAACGCACACTTCTTGTGCCGGACTTAATCGTGAACGGACTCCCGACAACTGAATCGAGATTCACCACCGATCAGCACTGGGGAGGGTTTTTGCAGATAGGGTTCCCTTTAAGAGATCTCCGCAGCAAGCCTTCCACAAATATTTCCATCCATCTCTTGGGCATTATTTTATTTATCAGTACATCCATCTTATGTGTTGCATCCTGTGTATATTCTACCTTGTGTACGATATGTTACATTCTTATGTCAGATGTGCTGTACAGGCAAGAAAGCAGGCGAGCGAGCAAGCCAGCAAGCAAGCAAATAAGCACATTCGCAAAGACACGAGCCTACATAAATGCACACGCATACATACATACATACATACATACATACGTACATTCATGCATACATACATACATACATACATACATACACACGTATGTATCTACCTACACACATACCTGCATCCATGAATGCATGCATGCATGCATATGGACAGACAGACAGACACATGCATGCACGCAGGTTCGCACACATGTGCAGACACGCACATACATGCTTGATATACATATATGTGCATATATACACACATACACATACACATGCACCCACACCCACACCCTCACCCGCGCCTGCACCCACTCATGCACGTACGCATACACACACGTATACATATACACGTACATGTACATGTTCATATACACATATACATATGCACATATATATATATGTATATGTATACACCTACACACATATACACACATACACATAGATACACAGATATACATGTACATATATCATATGCATATATACATACATACATACATATATATATATATATATATATACACATGTCTGTGCATATGCATATATCTATACATATATATCTATACATATATATATATATCTATACAGATATATCTATACATATATATCTATACATATATGTATACAGGTAGTTATACATACACACACACATGCACACAAATCACTCGCTTCCTCTCTCTCTCTCTCTTTCGCTCTCGCCCTCTCGCTCTCGTTCTCTCGCACTCGCTCTCTCGCTCTCAGTCTCCCTCTCACTGTCTCTCTCTCGCTCTCTAGCCCCTTCGCAGGGACCTCCAAGACGAGCCCTCAGCATGTCAGGCCGAGACGGCCTGGCAGCGGCAGAAGGAAGCTCAGCAGAAACACGACCAGGCTCGGACCTCGTTGTGCAGCCCAGTAGAGCGGGGCCGGACGAATCAATAAGACTATTCCCTGATAGTCCTTAGGTCCCTCAATTCTACTGGAATGAAGGGTCGGATTGATTCGTGCTACTGACTGACTGCTCTTTCCTTGTCGCCTTTTATCAGCGCAGGCCGAAACCTGACAAACCAAAGACGTGTCATCGTCGCCACCAGCTAATGATTCAGCTAATGTCAGGGTAGTGGCGGAGGACTTGCAACAGCCGCCAGGTAGTAGCAGTGAGCTTGACGGGTGCTGGTCATGCTGCTGTTGCCGCTCCTTACTTATACCGGCTGCCACTACAACGTGCATGGCCACGCACGCTGTGGGGAGCCGCAGCAACAGCATTTCTAGTAGCAAAGGCGTAAGAAGCATGCGTCTTGTACAACCGGTGGATATTGGACAAAATGTCCCGGACCCGGAACAGCAAAGCCTTGAAGGTAGAAACAAACGCCGGTGCTCACGATACCCTGTACCTGCGGCTTCCCAAAACCGAATTTCCAAAGAAGGCCCAGATCCTGCAAACTTCAGCTCTCACAGCATTCTGTGGAGTGATTGGTGTTAGGGCTGTCCGGACTTGCCGAAGGAGGGTTCGCCTTGCAATAATTTGGTTCACTGATACTATGGGGGCCTTAACAATTACCCATACTATTTGGGGGGTTCCTTTTTATAATGATAGTATAATGGGCCCCAAAACCCCTATTCTAATTATTAAGGCCCCTACAGTAAAATTTTCTCTGAGCCCCGTGGCTGCCCTTGGCTCTCGGCCGCGAGGTTGAGCTTCTTTACACGCAGCTTCAGGAGCTCGACCCTTCTCAGAGTTCTGCCATGAATGGGGGAATTGCCATGTATGGCTAAAAGGGTTAGATGTGGCAGAGTGGACAGCCACTGCGTTTCGCGTCCGATCAGATGTGGTGATGGAGTAGGTTCAGGTGGTGGTCAGCCGGACTGTTGGAGAGTTGTCCAGGTGCTCTGGACGCTAGCTGTTCGGATGCAAGGATGTTTTTGTGACACTCGTGGGTTCTTTGGTCTGTGGTCGGCTACGCTCGTCCCTGCCACAGAGTATCCATATCCCCGAGACTCCAACCCCACAGCCGAAAGTGCCGTCCTCAAAAGCGCTATTTCCGTGACCACCATCACCATCATCCAGGAGGCCAGAAGGGTCAGAGCGTAAGCACCGAACATCAACGGCCCGTCTCTGGAGCCAGGGTTTTCAGTCGTCCTCTTTTTTTCTCTTTTGGGGGTTTTGCCCAGCCACGAGTCCAACTCGGCTCACCTGGAAGGAGCTGACCCAGCAAAAGCATGCGGAGGCCGGGGCTTGGAGCGAATGGCTTTGGGTTCAGGGTTCAAGCAATGGGTTACAATGTGGAATTATGAGAAGACGAATATCGTAGTCAACCTGCACATATGCAACCACTAAGTGAACTGTACGAGTAACAGTGCAGTTCGTGGCAACCGAGTGGTGTGATGTTGGAGTGGTTGGCATAACGTGAGAGAGTCTCGCACAGTATGTGACCCTCGACGTAGACCCCAACTAAAGTTTTTCAAAGAATCCTTAATAGTCGGACCGTGACTTTATGAACCCCAAAAGCCTGAAAATGTGAACCCCAAACCTTACCATCCTGAAGCCTACTGCTGTCAACACCGGAAAGCCCTGACGCCCTGACATCGACCCCGGATCCTTCCCATGCCCCCCGAAACGACGAAGGAAGCTCGTGCGCGGCGCCACGCCAAAGATGTCCAGCGGGCAAAGCTGGAATTTGTGGTTTGGCCTTATATTGCCTTGGGTTTGGAGCGTCTGGGATTTTAGGACACACAGTTATTCTTTTTGGGTTCGGCTTATGGGCATGTGCTGGGTGGAGGCACGGTTCGATTTCCCCCAAACGCGCCAGGATGATGCGACACATGTGCTCAGCATGATCGGATTGGTTCCACGACTTGGCACAGTTGTGAAACATCGGACAGAGATGGAACCCAAATCAGAAGCACCCAACAGAAGGGGACATTACAGTTGCTCTGTATCCGTGAAATCCGTGCTTCGATGTACTTGGTCTGTGAACTTCGGTTGGGCGGACCATGGAAGCAGGCACACACTCATACCGGCATCACGCAGCCCCACTGACGTCTCAACCTTCAATCCTCCACGCTGAGTCCTACTTGAACCCGAAACCCCAAGCCTTGACAGACGAGCTGGGAGGAAGAAGCAACTCGGAAACTCCGTGCGGCAGAGTCAGAGGTGCGGCAGCGGCAGGCGCAGTGGCAGCTGTGAAGCTGGGTAGGTTCAGGTTAAGGCAGTATACCGACTTGTACATGATGGCTGACTGCAACGACTCCTCTTGCTCTCACCAGCAGGCAGTAGAGCCAGGAGTGGCACGAGCTCTTGAGATGCTTGTATAACATACATGCTAGACATGTTCTGCCTTCATCTGCAAGCTTCAGCATTACTTCGAAAGTCACCGAGCAGAAAGGAGGAGCAGCGTCGTGAAGAGGAAGCAGAGAGGCTTCGGCGCGAGGACCTCGCCATGGGTGGAGAGAGAAGAGAGAAGAGCTCCTTCCCATACTATTTTGGGGGTTCCTTATCAGTATAACTACTGAGGGCTACGGCTTTCAGACCCAAGAAGCGAACTGACGTTGCGAGCAGATTCCCAGAAGCCAACCTACAAGAGTTCTGTGAGGGTTCTTGCTCTCTCTTTACCGCCCTTAACCCTGAATGCGCTACCCTCAACCCGAAACCCGAATCCATACACCCTACAACGTAAAGTGCTCATAGGAATATAAACCCATGGTCTGTGGCTTCTTTAAGGATTCGACGGTTCGCTGCTGGAGTTCGATGCTGCGCATCTTCTTACGGGGCCTTCTGAC